AAGCATCCTCCCATTAACCGTGAGAAAACAAAGCACAGAGGTGGAAGTAGGAGTTATGTGTCTGTGCCAGAAACTGGGAATACATTAAGGCCAAGCTAAAGGAAGGGAGTCACACCATGTTGCCACAGGGGAGGGCACAGACAAGACGGAGAGCATGGCACTGACGGTTTGTGCATGCTTGAACAAGATTATAAATTGTTTATTACCAAGCATATAATCTGCTGTTACCTGTTAAAACTCTTGAAACCATGATCTCAAAAGTTAGAAAAGAAGAACTTAGAAGAGATTTGAAAAGCGTCTATCTTTGCTGGAGACATTTCTGTGTTAATTTAATGTGCTTGAAATCAAGATGGGTACGGGATGAGGAAAGAAATCTGAGGGGGGAAAAGGAACTCAGATTACCCGGAATTGCCCAGATCTTACATTTGTCTGGGAGATCCAAGGCAGAACCTGGCCTCCGGAGTTTTCCAGCATCTGCCCATACAAGCGCGTATGGGGTTTTACCATTGGCTAGAAAAACACTTGTAAGTTCACCCGTCAATAGCTTTCCTTGAGCGGCTAAGGAAACATCCTAACAGCACTTCTCTGTACTCTTCTTTAATAATGCAAGTTGCCTAAAAATGCTTACCTTCCTATCCTTAGTCCAAATTGTCATTCATTCAGAACAACTGGGGGTTCAACTTCATTTAATATACTCCCCAAAACATAAGGCTCCGCTTCTCAGGGCAAGGAGACCAAGAATGTGATGGAATTTAGAGGAAGGAAACAGCGAGGAACAGCTGTTGACCAAATAAGCAAGGGCAGGGATGATATGAGAATAATGATAGTATTACCTTGTATTTCAAAAGCACCTTTCTGCAAAAGGCTTGAAGTACTGTATAGAGTATGCAGATTTTGTCTCTTATCCTCGGTGATCGAAAAAAATTAGATTCATTCTTATTAACGTGTGTTCCCATAGCTACCCACAAATATTTTGGCTGTTTCTATTTGCTGTGTCTATAAGTGCAATTAATTTCTTCATTGAGCAGTATCGGGAAGTCCCGTTAACTTCTCAGCTTCTTCAGTTGTTTAGGGTGATGTTTTCCGTAAGGTCGGGCAGTAGCTTTTCCCTTCTTTTGCCATGTTTGTGGCTTCACTGTACTTCGTTGTACTTGTCCGAGTCCAGGTTAGCATGTGTGTCTTGCCCTTTCAATCATCAGAACTTGCCTACAATCTCTGCCCCGCAGTTCCTTTCACCACCATCAAACTTGCACCTTCCTGGTATCATAACCTCTGTGATTCTCTTCTATGTGACTGTTTTAATGAATGGCATTCCATTTACATGGCTGTGTAGTCATTTTTTTTTTATTTCTTGACAATAGGTACACATCAACCTGATTTTTCTCTTCATTCTCCATAATGTAACTTAAGACACGTCTTTTCTCCCACCTTCCTGAACTTGACAGTGCCATGTGACCAACAGTTTCATCACAGGTTTCTCCCTAGGTAGTTCTATATATTCTGTCTGGACATTTCCTTAAATCCTCTTTTTTTACGTAGTAGAAGTGTTTCTCTAAAAATTCATTTTACTCTAATTTGGTTTCATCTGATACATACTAGTTGGAATCAAAGATCTTAGAAGTCAAAGAGGGCCCCTCGATTTTTTATCTATCCCTCTGCCTTTAAGAAGATACATACGGCTCTCACGAACAGGTGGCGCCACTGAAGTCCAGAGAAGAGACCTGTTTATGGCCACACCACTATTAAGGAAGCAAAAGCTGGACCCCCACTCCCCAGTTGAGGAACAGTGGGAGACTGGAAAAGGCAGTTGGCTCTGGAGAAGGAAAGTCTCTGAGTCAGTAAAGTAGTCAATTGGTACTTGGGTGGAGAAGTTAGAGTGCTTGGACTCAAATCTGTAATACTTAAGGAATATTAATAACAACCACTGAAAAGCTATATAGGAATGAAAATTACAGAAGAATGGAATTGTGCTCAACAACTAATGTTCCAAACATCTAATGCTCCAATCATCTAATGCTGCACAACAAACTACCCCAAAACTGAGGGGTTTCAAATAATATTTTGCTCACAAATCTGCAATCCAGGCAGAGCTCTGCAGGGACAGCTCATCTCCACTCCCTCCAAGTTAGCTGGGATTGCTCACAGTCTGAGAGTTAGAATCATCTGAAGGCTCACTCAACTCAGACATGTGGAGGACAGAATATGGGGCTGCCAGGGCTCCATCCAGAGACATCACTCTGTACCTCCATGTGATCTCTCCATATTGGACCTTTCAGCGTGGCAGCGGCAGGACAGTCAAACTTCCTACATAGCAGCTCATTGCTCCCAAGGGATGTAGCTCAAGAAAGAGAGTCAAGTGGAAGCCTTTTATGAAGTCATACAGCATCACTTCTGCCACATTCTCCTGGTCAAGGCAATTACAAAGTGCCGTTGAAAACCGACCTCTGTGCTCTGGGGCCAAAGCATGTACCATGAAGACAGATTTTACACATAGCAATAAACTTTGCCAGGCAAAGGAGGCTGCAGCAGGCTAATGCCTCCGGGACTGCAAACCCACCCACAGTAAAAGGCTGAGGGGTTTTATAAGAAAAAACAGGATCTGGGTGGTTTCAATAGGAAACTGGTTCTTGCTGCCAGCCACGTTCATTATGTCTTCAAGCTGGTCTCATGACTAGTGCTGGCGCTGGCCATCCCCGCCTTGTTACTACGCATACACTGAGATCAGCGAGATGTCAATATTGACACCACATTCCTGGAACAAAGGATTCTACAGAAAAACAAGTGAAAGGGAGGAGGAGGCTTCAAGAATTAGGAAGAGAAAAATCTGTTTAGTTTGATGTCAAGCCTTGCTGAAGCACTAGTGTGTCCATCTTGATTTCCAGCCCTCTTTACGTTTCTATAGCGGTTTCAGAATGTCTTCCCAGAGGCGGATATAGACACCCCCTCTCTCGATGGAGGAGTGTCAACATCATATTGCAAGAAGAGTACATGGGATGAGATCTATATCAGAGCAGCTGTCTTTGGAAAACACAATCTGCCACAACTGAAAACCACGGGATTACCAAACCATTACAACAGCCCTTGAAAAGGCCATCAGTTTGTCACTAACAAAACTCATTCTGCAAGATGAGCTCAAACGTAATTGTCCCATCCTTTTGGAATTCCTCTTCGATGTCCCCCAGCTTCCATAGCCCTTTGTAAATATGCCCACTCTGCCATCAGGATGTTCTATTTTCAAAACATGATTGTAATCAGGCAGGTACTATCAACCTGTCAATTAGCCAAACTTCTTTTTCAAATCAATCAGTATAGCATAGAAAACATCACAATTTAAGAGAGTCTTCGGACTGATGGGGAAGTGACCCCTCAGGGGAGCCACAAGTGGTACTTTGCATAGAAAACAGAGCAGAGAGGAAACATCAGCAATTCTGAGAAAACCTGACATCAAAGAAAAAAAAATATATATATATATACACACATATATACGTATGTATTTGTCCTACATTAAAGGTAGAAGGTACAGCAGTACAGTAAATGTCAAAACAACCTCGAGAAGCAGCTGGGATGGAAGCATAGCCTAAAGCAGTGTTCTCCAACCTCACCTGCATCAGAATCACTTGGAAAGCCTGTCGAAACACCCCCAGAGCTTCTGACTCAGCAGGTCTGGGTCGGGCCTGAGAATCTGCATTTCTCACGAGTTCAGGGACAACGCTGTTAGTGGTCTGGCACCACGCTCTAAGAACCACTAGCCTAAAGGTTTTTAGACCTGGAGGTAGTGGCCACAGCTGAGGCCCTGGCAAGGATGAAGGAACCAGAAGCGCCCACAAGAGCGGTGGGCGGGGAAGATGACCCACGGGACGGAAGTGGCCTGCTTTTAACAGACCCCATTTCTCCTGTTGGTCCCCCTGCAGGCCCGGGCACGCTCCGGCCATTGCACCGCGAGCCCGTTCCCCAGGCCCAGCCCAGCCCAAGGCTGACGCCGCCGGGTCGCTGCAGCCGCGGTAGCGACGCGCCCCCTCCCGACCGTCCCGGGTAATGTCATCCGAGAACGCACACTCAGGCGGCCGGCCGAGGTGGGCGGGGCTAACCTCCCTTCGTGAGGCTGTTGGGAGAGCAGACCTCGGAGATCCGAGTCCCCGCCCCCGAGCCGTGATTGGTCAACGCCGCCCGAGCGCGGTGACGTGAGGCCGGGGCGGAAAGTTTGTTTGGAAGAGCGCGGGAGCTGGGAAGTCCAGGGCCTGCTACGTCCGGGAAAGGCCTTAAGATTGTTCCGCTGCCAGGTGCTCCTTCGGAAACGGGGGCTGATTCCTCACGACTTTCCGGTACTAGCCGCCTGTTACCTCGGAGTGCCTCTCTGCCTCCCTGGTGCCCAGGTGAGCGTCCGAGTGGGACCTCTGGTAGTGTGTGTGTGTTGGGGGAGGGGATTACTGTGCTCCTGGCCCCCAGACAGGAGAGGAGCGGGAGGAGTATGCTCAGTTTCCCCGATGCTCCGAGGACATCCTCTCGTTCCCACCACCCACCTTCTTGGCATTTGGGATCACTGGTCTGATGGTGCTGGGCCTTGTGGCTCTGGCTGATTAGTTCTTGCAACAAGTTAAAAGTACCTGCTGTGAGTTAAGCACAGGTAATTATGTCCCAGTACTTACGAGTGCCGGGAACAAAGCAGATGCGTGATTCCTATTTGAACTGAAGTGAACACAGCCCCTAAGGAAAGGACTCTACCAGGAAGACAGGTATTACGTGGCGTGACAGGTGCTCAGTTCGAGGTGTATGGGGAAACACTTTTAAGGGGTGACCTCTTTGAGAAACTGATATCTGACCTAAAGTTCAAAGGAAGAGGCAAAGAATTGAAAAGAATCAAAGCCTGTGAATTGGCAACTGCTACTGAGCCTCTACAACACCAGCGGTAGATAGACAGTTGCCTATTCTTGCAAATAAATGGGAACCGCACTGCAGGGTATTGGTTCTTTTATTTTCATTAGGTACCGGTTTCAGAGAACATGACGGAGGAACTGGACCTCACAGGACAGGACTCTGACGCGGGTAGTGAAGAAGTGGTCCTAACTCCTGCAGAGCTCATTGAAAGGCTGGAGCAGGTAAGCATTAATAATAGTGGTTATTTCACAGAGTCATTGTGAGGAGTAAATGAGATAATATATGTAGAATGCTTGCTTAGCATATTGTTTGACCCACGATAAGCACTCAGTGTTAGCTGTGAGTAGTAATAATCCTTACTACAACCCAGTGAGGCAAGTATTACTGCCCAACATGAACCAAGTCTCTTTGACTCCAAAATAATCTGCTCTTAATGTACTACACCTGCTGCCTTATTCTTGCCTTCTCTCTTTAACAGCCCCTTTCTGGAACTCTCTGTTTGTTACTCTAGTATTCTTCATTCTGTCCTACCATGCATGTCATCATGAGTGACAAAAGGAAGATAATTTTAAAATTATATCTTATATGATAATTCTTACTGTATGAGTAATTCTTCATTTGTATTTATATCACAGACCTTTCTGAAAATCTGGTGAAAACTGGCCCTTTTTCCCAGAATAATATATGTATACACACACATCCAGAAATTTTGCATGTCATTTCGGGAGGTTCACAGACACCCTGAAATCTGCCCACCTAGTTTAAGAGCCTCTGCTTTATTAGGAAAGGATTCATGCGACAAAAATCCTAAAGCACAAAGCATAAAGGAAAAAATGGATACATTCAACTATGTTAAACTTGAGAACTTTTGTTTTTACACCTTGATGGCAGTAAAAAGACATGCTGCAAAACTGGGAGAAAATATTTGCAATATTAGTATCCACACTGTATAAACAAACTTTACAAACTACCCAATAGAAAAGAATGAAGTCTTAACAGGCATCTCCCAGAAGTGGAAATCAGGATGGCCTACTGGCCATCATATGGAAAAGATGTTCAGTCTTTTTAGTAATCAGGAACATAAAAATTTAAATCCCAAGGAGATACCACTTCATACCCATCAGATTGGCAAAAATGAAAAAGGTGAACAATATAAAGCAATGTATAAATAAAACAACATAAAGGATTGTGGAGCCATTTGCACACTTGTTTACTGTGGTGAATTGGTGCACTTTGAAAAATAATTTGTTACTGTCTTGTCAAGTTGAAGGCACACGTATCTTGTGTCCCAGTCTTTCTACTTCCAGGTACATACCCTAGAAAAAACTTCCAGGAGGCATGCATAAAATGTTCATAGTATTGTTTGCAACAGTTAAAAACCAAAAGTAACCCAAATATCTGTCAATAAAATAAATAAAAATTACGATCTATATACACAATGAGAAAAAAAAACAGCAATAGAGTGAAAGAGAGCTCCTGCAACAACATGGATGACTCTCGAGAGCATGATGTAGAACAATAAAAAATAAGTTTCTGAAGAAACCATTTATACTAAGCTCAAGCACTTGCAAAACTGTTGTTCGAGACCGAGCTCATGGCACATGCTGGTATGCTGCAGTGCGTCACAATGTTGACATCTGTCCTCTGGGACAGGGGGATCCCCCAGACTGGTTGCCTCTCATGGCTATGAGGGGCTCCTTGGAAGGCAGCACAGCCTCAGCTTGGCAGTGGGTGAGCAGAAGTTACATCTCGGGCCTGAAGCTCTGTTGCAGTGCCCTGAGTGCACCCGAAGAGTTGGTCCACCGCCTGGACAGCTGATGTAGCCGGAGCATAGCCTGAGGAGCCACCTGACAGGGCCCCTGATAAACACAGCTCAAGGAGCAGATAGAGGATACTCGTGAATGCCTGTTAAAAAAATGATTTAAAAGTTATTACCTACAGTGCAAAGTTTCTCACTTTAATAATTGTATTTGTTTGCTAAGGCTGTATAATGAAGCATCATAGACTGGGTGGATTAAACAACAGACGTGTATTTTCTCAACTCTGGATCCTGGAAGTCTGAAATCAAGGTGCTAGCACCGTAGATTTCTTCTGAGGCTTCTCTCCTGGGCTTGTAGATGGCCATGTTCTCCCTTGTCTTCACATGGTCTTCCATGTGTGTCTGTGTTCAAATTTCCTCCTCTTAGAAGGACACCAGTCTGGGGTGCCTGGGTGGCTCCATCGTTAAGCATCTACCTTTCGGCTCAGGTCATGATCCCAGGGTCCTAGGATCGAGCCCCACATCGGGCTCCCTGTTCAGCAGGAAGCCTGCTTCTCCCTCTCCCACTCCCCTTGCTTGTGTTCCCTCTCTCATTGTGTCTCTCTCTGTCAAACAAATCTTTAATTAAAAAAAAAGAAGGACACCAGTCATTGAATTAGAGCCCACCTAATGATCTCATTTTAACTTAATTACCTCTTTAAAGACCCTGTTTCCAAATGCAGGCATTCTGAGGTGCTAGGAATTAGGACTTCAACATACAAATTGGGAGTAGAGAGGAACACAGTTTAGCCCATAACAGTGAACAGATTGTCTTTAAAAATTTTGATCAGGAATCAGATGTAGCTATTTCAAACATAGAACCTGATTATTAAAAAAAAAAAAGACCATGGATTTAAATGCAAGTTTCTCACTAAATATTTTGAAAACACTTTGTTTGAAAGTTTTATACTAATATAAATTTTTCCTAATGTTTTAAAATTTTTACCAAAATAATTTCATAATGTCAATGAGAAATCCTCCTCAAATCTACTCTGTTTTACCCCAGTGTACCTAACAAGTGCTATCATTTTCTTTGAAATCATTGGGAACCATTATGTAGAGATACAAACAAATGTAGTGAGACTATAGAAAATTAAATACTAAGGTCAGGCTAATGATTACCTTTGAAGAGGGAGGAAGACACAGGGACTTTTAAAATAATGATAATACTTGTTAATGAAGTTATGTGTACACAGGGGTTTATATCTCTATTCATGTTATATGTAATAAACATTTCTTACCTATTCAGTATTTAATAAGATCAGTTAAAAAGAAACATTCCTGCTTTGTAAGTCCTCTATGACAGTTCAGTCTTTTCTCATTTGTAATGCTTCTTGAAAATACAGACTTTTCTTTCTAGTTAACATTTACAGCACTAATACAGGAGCTTGAGCCCATGGAAAAAAAATTTATGATAGTAGCAATACCTACTGTTTAATAATATGTCTTCATGGTGATAATTGGAGATGAAGAGACTCAAGGATGTCAAAAGGAATAAAGTGAGCCTGATTGGCATGTAATTCTGAGCTTTGCTTGAAACTAACTGTAACTGAAAGACAAGATTAGTTTTCGTCAGTCACCTGTGGATATTTCAGTTCTCTAAGCCTTGGTAATTTCTAAAATGTACCAAATATCTGGGCCTGAGTCATAAATTAAGGATTTAACCTCTTGTTCCAAAACTGTTTAATAGTTGATCCTTTTATATTGTGATCCTTTATACTTAGGCAGTTAGTAAATCTGTGCTTTCTCATTAATAAGATAAGGATAACTGTATCCATTCCTCTCATATTATAATGAATGAAAAAGTATTTTTAAAGTACTCTAAGCTTCCCAAATGGGATGTGTAGATTTAGGTTACTTCATCTCTCAAAATAGAAGGGTGCTGGCGCCCCCTCGTGGGAAATAGCAGGTGAAGTCGTAGGAACGAGTTGATGCTATTTGGCGAAAGGTACTACTGTTTGAACACCAGGTGGTGTTGCTCTCACTAGTAGGCATCATACTGGCAACATTTTTTTTTTTTAAATGTATTAGGGAACTGCAGAGGCAAACTGACAATATTTTTGAAGTGAACGTGACTTTTTTTGCAATTTTGGTTAAATATAAAATTGTAAGCACAGCCTTCCCACTAAAAGAAATAGAAAAGCCATCATAAACATAGCTCGTTTACAAAGCATTTCCAGTATTTCCAACTCATAGGCAAATAGTTTTCTTTGCCGGAAATAGCTGTGATTTTCACGGGATATGTACGAACTCACAGGGTTATTTTGCTCCATTGTGAATGATACTGATAGATATATATATTTGGTGGGGGACATTGTTTTTTAGGCCTGGATGAATGAAAAGTTTGCCCCTGAGCTGCTGGAAAGCAAGTCTGAGATTGTAGAGTGTGTCATGGAACAGCTAGATCACATGGTAAGAGTTGCTTATCTCGGGATTACAAAGGAAGAGAACTTTAAAAGGGTTTTGTCAGCATAGCGAGAGGTTGAAGTATGATACCAAATCTGTTTTGTTTGGCCCAGCCTAGTGGGGTTTTTTTTTTTTTTTTAATGAAACTTTTTTTTTAAAGATTTTATTTATTTATTTGAGAGAGAGAGAATGAGAGATAGCACGAGAGGGAAGAGGGTCAGAGGGAGAGGCAGACTCCCTGCTGAGCAGGGAGCCCGATGTGGGACTCGATCCCGGGACTCCAGGATCATGACCTGAGCCGAAGGCAGTCGCTTAACCAACGGAGCCACCCAGGCGCCCGGGTTTTTTTTAATATTGAATTAGTTACCTGCGTTTATGAAGCATGAGCCTACCTATGACTATCTGCACGTCAGCTTCCCCTGAAAAGTCTAAAATCCTGTCAATACTGGGCCCATGTTTCTATTAGAAAACAGCTGACCAGAGCAGGATAAGGGCCACCCCCTTTCATGTGCTCTGTTCCCCACAGTCCCTACCTACCCACCCCTTTCAGATAGCTTGCCTGCCTGGCCCCCGTAGACGCTTGAGTTTGTGGCCTTTGGCTTAGATGGGCTGGGCTTAAGTCATTATTAGCCTCAGAGTAGCTTTACAACATTGGTATTTTACAGTTTCTCAATTGGTGATTTAACACTGCCCTTGGACATGTCTTCTGTCTGCTGTATTATCTCCTTTACAATTGGGCCGGAGTTCTTCTAGGCCCTTCCCACTCACCATATTCAGATTCTATTCAGGTGGTTGTTTTCTAAAAGTAAATGAGTATTGTTTGAACTTTTTATAATGAGGCTGTAGTTTTTTGGTTCTCCTTTGACCTATATGTAGTCTTTGAGTGCTCAACATTGCCAGTGATGGTGGTCCCTGTGCAATTGTGCAGACTGAATGAGAAACGTCCTTCTTCTGAATATCATGTTTTTTATATACTTCATTTTCTCTTTTTAATAGGAAGAAAATCTCAGGAGAGCCAAGAAGGGGGATCTGAAGGTCAGTATCCATCGAATGGAGATGGAGAGGATCCGCTATGTCCTTAGCAGCTACTTGAGGTGTCGGCTCATGAAGGTTTGACGCGGAGATACCTATAGTTAGCATTAAGGCAATGCAGTGTGTAATAGGGACTGAGCATCTTGGGGAGACGTTGGGCTGGGGCCTGAAGATGCTGCAAAGCCCCAATATCGGGGTAGCTAAAGAATAAGGAGGGCAAGAGATTATTCTGGAGAAGCCTAGATGGAACATGCATTGCACACCTCTGGGGACACATTTGTAGTCTTTGTCTGCTGTGTGAAAGGTGCCCCTGGAATTACAGCACGGCAGTGCCGAAGAGTCATTTGCATTAGTTGACTAGGGAATACTGACCAGAGGCGAATAGTTTCAGAAATTATTTTGCAGTCATTGTATAGCCAATGTCAAATTGACCATGATAACTTGACATTCAGCCATAGTTATGAGGCCATCTAACTTATGAAAATCAAATTGCAAAACATTCTTGTTTTATATGATGTTTATTTTAACCCGGAAAGTTCTTACTTCTTTGAAGTATCTTCTCATTTGGTTCCACTTGTTCCCTTAGTTAATACAAAATGAATACATCCTCTCCTACATGAGAGTGCTCTCAACTAAACATCTCAACCATTTATTTCCATTTGCTTTCCTGGTTCTGGTTCTGACGAAGGTTCTAGTTTGTCGGTATCCTTAAATCATACCACCTGCAACTGAGTACAATATTCCATTTGTAGTTTGGCCACTTTTGTGAAAAACAGGATCATCACTTCCCTTATTCTAGATATTAAACTGTAGTAATGCCACCCAGTATCACATGAGCGTATTTCACAGAGACATCACACTCTTCATTCTGCACTTGCCATGAACTCTAACCTCTTTGAAGTTTTTGAGTTACCATTTTCCCATCTTGTCACTATCCTATATTTGAATGGTTTGATTTTTCAACCCCTAAGTGTGGGACTTGATACTTACCCCTCTTATGCTTCGTCTTATTAAATTGGGCCATTTCCCTGGTCTCTGGATCCCGATCTTGTCATTTAATACATTAGCTGTCTCTTAACATTTGGTATCGTCACCTTATGTCAAGTTTGATAAGTATGTCATCAAAGGTCTTATCTGATTCATTAGTAGGACTGGGCCAAGGACAGAATATTCCACCAGAGACTTCCCTACAGGTCAACATCTGTCTGTTGAATCAATGTAGTTTCTTCAACTGCTTCTGAGTCTATACTGATCTATACTGTCACAGCCCTTCTTTACACTTTGCCCCCAAGGATGTCATAACAGTGGTGTCGTGTGTTTTGACAAAATGGAGATTTAAAAAAAAAAATATGCCTCTCCACCCCACCCTCAACTACCAGGCCACTCTTTTTTTTTTCCCCCTTAAGTTGGATAAATCCTTTTCATGTAATCACTTAATTTTCTTTGAGTTCACAAACCAACTCTTAAATGATCAGTTCTAATATAATGCCACATACCAATGTGAAGGCCATTAATCTGTATTTGAAGGTTCCCCCACCGTCTTTGTATTTTTGGAAGTTGGGAAATCGGCCCGCCTCTACTATTTCTCACCTCTGTGAGGGCAGTGATTCTGAGACCATGAGGCTGCTTGCATCGGTGGTGCACTAAGTGACAGAGGGCGGTTGGCGTGCATCAGCGCAGAGCGCCTCATGCTCCAAAACACCACACAGACGTTCATTTATCCTGGAATGTAATTGGTCCAAGCCAAAAGACATAAACTCCTTTAAGCAGATAAAGGCTCCTCTGTGTTGGCCTGGGATCCTCCTTCCCATTGTCCTTTCCCTATTTGCATTTCCTTCCACAGACAGCCCTAACAGCACTGACTCTGAGTGGTGGCCTAATCCCTGTGCAGTTCCTGACCACTTACCTTCATGTAGCTTTTAGCGTTTTATTTTTTTTTTCTGTTTTGTTTGTGTTTTTTCCTGGTATCATTTTTTCCTAGCCTTGCCTCACTGTGGACTTCATCCTTGCTGGTTATATTCTTATAATTAAGAGTCACTGTTCTCGGGCAGCTGGGCGGCTCAGTTGGTTAAGCGTCTGCCCTCGGCTCAAGTCACGATCCCAGGGTCCTGGGATCAAGCCCCGCATCGTGCTCCTTGCTCTACTAGGAGTCTGCTTGTCCCTCTCCCCCTGCCCCTCCCCCTAGTCATGCTCTCTTTCTCTCTCAAATAAATAAATTTTTTTTTAAAAGTCACCCTTCTCTCTGCTTGTGTATTCTATATGTGTCTTCCCAGCTTTTGTACATGCTTCATCTCAGAACAATCTGTGCAGTTGCCTAGAAATGTTAAACGATACCCCCTTCTCTCCCTCATTAATATCATTTACAGTTACATTTTCATATTTTCTTTTATGAAAGCCTCTCACCCTTTTGAAGTGCTCTTCCTTTTTAGAGCCCTTATCTTTGCTCTGCATTCTTTGAAACCTGCCTCCTTGAAATCTTGGAAGTCTAGAAAGGGTCTTGACTGTGAAGACTTGCCATTTTTGAAGTCAATTCTAGTTTAACCTCAACCTGTTTCAGAAAATTAGTATATTTGACTCTCGAATCCTGACACATTTACACAATGCTTTTTATTTATCCTCAGATAGAGAAGTTTTTCCCTCATATCCTTGCAAAGGAGAAAACACTCCACGAGGGGGAGCTGTCTAGCCTTTCTCCAGAGGAGCTGGTCTTTGCGAAACAGTGAGTAAGCAAGACGCGGGGGGGACTGCTTTCTTTCCGTGGCTTGTGAGCATGAGTTTTGGTGGTTGTCTCCATGAAGCTGATGGCTGGACCACTGTTGTGTGTCTGACAGCCTGGCAGCTCCTGCCAGGAGGGTGGCTACAGTGATTTGAATTCCTCTCTTTCAGGTACATGGCTAACACAGAGACCTACCTCAAGAATGTTGCCTTAAAGCATATGCCTCCTAACTTACAGACAGTGGACCTCCTGAGGTCAGGTGAGCAGAGCACTCTCTTTTCAGACGTATTTTCAGGTGCCTTAGAATAAGATCTTCATCTTTACTCTCTAGCCTGGAAAAATAAATATGTAGATAAGCAAAAAAGAGAAGAGAGGATGTGGTTTGGTTTAAAAACAAACAAACAAAAAATCATTGTGCTCCTGGGTGGCCCGTCGGTTAAGTGTCTGACTTCAGCTCAGCCAGGTCCCTGGAATTGGAAGCTTGTGGAGGGGATCAATCTGCGTCAGTGCAATAAATCTTGCTTAGTTAGCCCAGGTGCCCTGAGTCCCCTTCAGGCCTCTGGAGCGTTGTAGACCCCGAGGGCAGAGTGGGGGAAGGCATGTTGAAATCCAAGCTGGGTTTCCTGGAATAAGTAGCTGCCCAGCCGGGTCATCTGGCCCTGTGAAGTTGGAGTCTCTGTGGCAGGCCCCAGACCCTGAAGCGGCCCAAGGGACTTCCTTAGACCTTTGGAGCCAGTTATCCTGAACCCCCACCTGTGGATGAGGAAATCAAAAACAATATGAATGCTGAGCTAGGCTCTTAGAACTGAGAGTTATCCAGTAGGTTCTCAGAACCTGCAGTTGATGGAGTCCTCTGGGTACACATGGAGCTCCAAGAAATGAAGAACTGTCGAGCAGCACAGCCTGGGGCCCCTCCTTACATGCAGTGTTGGCTGGTGGTAGAAGAGGCAGCAACCTCTCACCCCGGAATCAACCAGGGAAGGACCGCTTACGGTGAAAACCTATATTCCGTCATTTGGCACTCAAGACTATCCCCATGTGACCCAATCTTTCTAATGCTCTCTCCTACTACTACTATGTATAAAAACATTTTCTCACTAGGTTTATACACTCTTGTCCTCCCAACACTGCATGCATATTTCTGCCTTGGCCCTTGCTGTTAGCTCCCAGGCTCACTTTCCTCGTTGAGTCTGCATTGACGTCTTCCTCCCCACTTGCCTGAGGGACTGTGCCACCAGAGTGAGGCTTTATCAGATGCTGCCGGTAGCCCTTTTCAGAGTGACTCTGTGTCACGCTTGCTTGTATCTTCCACAATGTGCACATTTTACATACTCGGCGTCTGTTGAATGAGCCATTGCTGTGTGAGGCCCTGGATGGAAAGTGTGCTATTTCTGTAAAGAGCCAGATCTCTCCTCAAGTCACCCTCCCCACAAAATGCTGTCACATCAGGGGTCCCTTAATGCTCAGTACAGTGAATCCCAGCAGCTTTCCCAGATTGGTCTTGTTGGCTGAGCATTTTCTGACTGCATTATCGTTTCTCTGGCAGTTCCCAAACCAGATCTAGATTCATATGTGTTTCTGAGAGTGAAAGAACGACAGGAAAACATCCTGGTAGAACCAGAAACAGATGAGCAAAGGTGAGCAACATGTGACCTTGATGGTGGGAAATCTGCCTCCACTGGGGCACCAGCTCAGCTCTGCATACATTTTTTCCTCCTTTTTCAGGGACTATGTGATTGACTTGGAGGAAGGCTCACAGCACTTGATCCGATACAAAACCATTGCGCCGCTGGTCGCTTCTGGAGCAGTTCAGCTGATATAAAATCAAAAGTAAATACACACTGACAGCATGGAACCCTAAAGATAATGTGTTAGAGCTCCTTACCTCTTTGTGCCTGCAGACGGCAGACTTTCCCGGCAGTGCTCTGGGTCACCTGGGCATCGACAAGGAGCTCAAGGCACGATTCCTAACTTGCCACACGTCCTCACTGCCATCCTAGCCACAGCCAGCAGGTGGAGCCATCGCTCTGCTGATTCTGCGTGCTGGCCCCTCTGGCCGAGCCCTCTGAGACGCTCCCTTCGTGCGCCTTTTTCCTTTGTGGTATTTCTTGAGCTAAGGGAAGTGAGGCAACCGCAGTTCACAAACGAGCCTCGCTGCCTATGATTAAGGGGCAGTAGTTAGCCCTGACCTGAGGGTGACCGGACAGCTCTTTCACCTCCCCAGTAAGAAGAAGATAAATGCAGTAGAATAACAGAAGATGAAATATCTTCTAGATTATCTCACTGGACTATGTGAACTAACCTTCTGGAACATCTGATACTGGACTTCAAAGCAATTTCTGCCCTGGTGGGTACTGAGAATCACAAATAAACCAAGAAACCATTACTGAGTTTCAGTTTTGTGCCAGAAGGAGCCTCCGGGCAGTTCTCAGTTTGTAGCCTAATGAAGTATGTACTCCCTGCTGCTAACCTGCTGCCTTCCCTGAATCTCGGGCAGCTTTGCCAAGCCAACCTCCAGGCCATCTGGCCATTCTTGGCCAGGGATCTGCTAACAGCAGCATTAACTATCCTATCTTGTGACCTTAGTAACAGCGTTTCTGTTTTTAGCTCTACTTTCTCAAGGGAAGTGGATGAAATTCACATGAGCAGAGAGTATCACAGTGACACCTGAAGGAAGGATGTAGAGACAGTGAATGAATTGTCTTTCCCTGAAACATGACCAGAAGGAACCTGCATTCCAGTCTTTTCTTGCTGATGAGAAGGCAGCAGATTTTCATTTAGAGTAATCAATGTAATATGGCTATCATTTCCAAGAGAAATCACTAAGTAAAAGCAAGAAGGGTTTATTAATAAAAGCATTTTCTATTTCACGTAGTGCTTTACTTTTTCCGCAGTGTTTTTACCTTCTTCAGCTGTTTATAAAACAAATAGGTATTGAGCATGTAGGGTGCCAGGCACAGTTCAAGGCACTGAGTCTCCAACCCAGAATAAGACAGAGAATTGGAACAGGGCGACTTCACTAAAGAGTAACTAGAGTGAGGGTTTGAGAGGTTCTTACCTAATTCAATGAATCTCACTAAATTGGGCCAAGATCTGAATACCAAGGAGCCAGACACAGATCAAAAGGAAGGTGATTCCAGACAGAGAAGACAGCTTATACAAAGGCCCTGAAGCAGAAACGAGGTCTGCCCACAGTCCTAAAACACAATGGGCCCTCAGTCGGGTCTAAGAGGCAGTCTGGGCCCAGATCACGTAGGGCTTTGTTAGCAAGGATCCTATTTGGTTCTCACAGCAGTCCTGAGAAGTTGACAGGGCTGGTAGTAATAGGTGGGAAATGGATGTTAAAGTGGATGTTTAGTGGCTAAGTCTGAGACTAGAACCCACGGCTCCCTCCTAATCACGTGTAATATGAGCTCTCGCCCCAATGCCTCCCTTGTGCTGAGCAGCCTGGAGAGGGATGTGGGCTATTACGCTGTTACCTAGAACAGTGCCTCCAGAGCCTTGATACGAACACCGATCGCCCAGAGATCTTGTTAAGATGCCGATCCTGATTCAGGAAGACTAGGATGGGGCCGAGGATTCTGCATTTCTGAGGAGCTCCCAGGCTGTGCCGTTGATACTGACCCAGGAACCCACTTGGAGTGGTAGAGCTCTATGCCGTCACCGGCTCCCACCACGTACGTGCCAGGCACACAGAAGACTTGAAGGTCTCTACAAAACCACAGAGTGCGTTTCTCCATTTCCTAGGCCACCTCTTTAAAGGAAGACTGGTTTAAATCAGTTGTTTTAAGATAAAGGGGAAGTTCAACTTCAAAACCAAGTAAGAAAGGAAATGAAGTGGCTTAGTGTGACATTGACTTCAACTTTTCCAGTTTGTGGTATTTTGCTCTATTGATAAGAACTCATTATGAAAGTATGAAAGATGGTTTTTCAAATAATTGCATCATACTTCATCATAAGCTTGTTGCTAGCAAAATGGCTCTTCCTGAGAAGTGCTGGCAGGTCCGGATCTGGGTTTTTCCAGCCACAGAAACCATGATTCAGCTGTGACCTTAGAACAAGGTCAGCTGTTTTTACTCTGTACTCAGGCTCCAGCAAGCAATGTGACTTTGGTGCCATCAAACTTCCTTCTGTGATGTACATAAGTTAACCATAGAGCTTTCAGAGTAAACTGTTAAGCAAGCACATTGTTTATCAATTCTTATGTTCTTTAATTTTTCATGGGAAGCTAAAGTTCCAAACGTTTGGAATTCTTCTAGAATTGATTTTTTTATATATTGTAAAATACACATAACATAAAATCTACCATCTTGACCATTTCTAAGTGTACGGTTCAGTGTATTAAAGAGATTCACATTGTGCAGCCATCACCACCGTCCAACTCCATAACTTTTCATCTTGTAAACCTGGAACTCTTTACCTCTTTAACAATAGCTCCCCTTTATCTCCCCTCCCCCCCAGCTCCTGAAAGCCACCATTATACTTTCAGTCTTTATGGTTTTGACTACTCTTAAGTACCTCATACAAGTGGAATCAGAGTATTTCTCTTTTTGTGACCAGCTTATTTCACTTAGCATAGTGTCCTCGAAGTTCATCCATGTTGTACATATTATGTGTCAGAATTTCTTTCCTTTTTTTTTTTTTAAGATTTTATTTATTTGAGAGCACGAGCAGGGGGAAAGGCAGAGGGAGAGAGAAAGGGAGAAGCCGACTCTCCACTGAGCAGGGAGCCTAACATGTGGCTTGATCCCAGGCCTCTGGGATCATGAGCTGAGCTGAAGGCAGATACTTAACGGACTGAGCCACCCAGGCTCCCCAGAATTTCTTTCCATTTTAGGGCGAATAATATCCCATTGTATATGTATAGATCACCTTTGCTTATTCATTCATCCATCATTGAACACTGGGTTGCTCCACATTTCAGCTATTAAGAATAATACTATAGGGGCACCTGGGTGGCTTAGTTCGTTAAACATCTGCCTTGGGATCCAGCCCTGCGTCGGGTTCCCTGCTCAGCGGGGAGCGTGCTTCTCCCTCTCTTTGACCTTCCCCCCGCTCATGCACTCGCTCGCTCGCTCTCTCAAATAAGTAAATAAGTAAGTAAGTAAAAGAATAATACCATCAACATGGATATACAAATATCTCTTTTGAGACCCTGCTTTCAATTCTGTAAACCCAGAAGTGGAATTGCCAGATCCTATGGTAATTCTGTTTAACATTTTGGTACTGTTCTACTGTTTTCCATGGCCACTATACCATTTTACATTCCCACCAACAGTGCAGAAGAGTTCCAGTCTCCAGTTTCTCTACATCATCCCACTGTTTTCTATTTTTGTTTTATAATGACCATCCAAATGTGTGTGAGGTGTTATCTCATAGTTTTGATTTGCATTTCCCTAATTATTGGTGATGTTGAGCATCTTTCCATGTGTTTACTTGCCATTCCTTTATCTTCTTTGGAGAAATGTCTATTCAAGTTCTTCACCCATTTTTTAATAGGGTTGCTGGTTTTTTTGTTGTTGAGTTGTCAGAGTTCTCTCTATATTCTGGTTATTAACCCCTTATCAGATTTATGATTTGCAAACATTTTCTCCCATTCTGTGGGTTGCCTTTTTACTCTGTGGATAGTGTCTTTTGATGTACACAACTTATAAATTTTCGTGAAGTCCACTCTGTCATTTTTTTCTTTTGTTACCTGTGCCTTTGGTGTCATAGCCAACAAATCATCATGAAATCCAACGTCATGAAGTTTTCATTATATGTTTTCTTCTCAGAGTTTTGTTTTATGTCTTACTTTCAGGTCCTTGTTTTATTTTGGGTTAAATTTTATATATCGTGTTAGGTAAGGGTTCAACTTTTTTTTTTGCATGTGGATATCCAGTCCCCCCGCCGCCACCCAACACACACACACCATTTGTTGAAAAGACTGTCCTTTTCCCATTGAATTGTCTTGGTACCCTTGTCAAAAATCATTTGACCATTTATGTGCGGGCTTATTTCTGGGCTCTGTACTCTGTTCCATTGGTCTATATGTCTGGCTTTATGCCAATACCACACTTTTGATTACTGTAACTTCATAGTAAGTTTATCATCAAGAAAGTGTGAATCACTTTCTTGATGATAAAACAGTCTTTCAAGCCTGTTCTGGTTATTCGAGATTTTCTTGAGTTTACGTGTGGGTTTTAGGATACATTTTTTCTATTTTTGCAAAAAATGTCATTGGGATTTTGATAGAGATTGCACTGAATCTGTAGATCACTTTAGGTAGTATTGACATTTTAACAATATTAAGTCTTCTATTACATGAGCATGGAGCGTTTTTTCATTTACTTAGGTCTTTAATTTCTTACAACAATACTGTGTAGTTTTCATTGTACAAAGCTTTCACCTCCTTGGTTAATTCCTAAGTGTTTTATTCTTTATGATGCTATTGTAAATGGAACCATCTTTATAACTTTTCATTGTTTGTGTATAGAAATGTAACTGATTTTTGTGTGTTTGTATCCTGCTACTTTGCTGAATTTATGTATTCTAATAGCTTTCTTGTGAAGTCTAAGGTTTTCTACTTTTAAGATCATATCATCTGCAAGCAGAGATAACTTCACTTCTTCCTTTCCAATTTGGCTACCTTTATTTCTTTTTCTTGCCTAATTGCTCTGACCAGAACTCCCAGTACTATGTGAAATACAAGCGGTGGAAGCAGACATCCTTGTCAAGTTCCCGATCTTAGAGGAGAAGCTTTCAGCCTTTCACCATTGAATATGGTGTTTGCTGTGGCTTTTATTATGTGGAGGTAGTTTACTTCTCTTCCTATTTTGTTGA